AAGGCTTCTTTCCTGGCAGAGATGCATGCTTCAGAATACAGAGATGTTTGCAAGGGACTGTTTCTAATGGGGCCCATTCTTGGACTAACCGTTGTAGGACTGATGACATTGGCGTTGTCATCAGAACCACATAAAATGGGGGAGAGCCAGTTTCCCAAAGGATGGGAATACAGTAGTCTCCCCTATCCACAGTTTTACTTTCTGCAATTTCAGTTATTCCCTATCAATGGCATTCTGAAAATATTAAGTAGGAAATTCCAGAAATAAACAATTCGTAAGTTTTAAATTGTATGCTGTCCTGAGTAGTGTGATGAAATCTCTCTGTCCTGCTCTGTACTGCCCCATCCTGTCCAAAATGTGAACCATCCCTTTTCCAGAATATCCTTGCTGTATGTGCAACCTACCTGTTAGTTACTTAGTAGCTATTTTGCTAATCAGATCTACTGTTGTGGTATCAGTACTTATGTTCAAATAACCCTATTAGTAGCCTAACACGGTCACAGTGCCTGTGTCATCTCATCATATAGATATTGCATCATCTCACATCATCACAAGAGGAAGAAGGGTGAGTACAGTACAGTAAGATAGCAGTCATGTGCCACATAATGATGTTTTGGTCAGTGGCTGACTAACTGAATATATGATGGTGGTCATAGATGATAATGGAGCTGAAAATTTCCTATCCAGGTGCTGTAAAATCATAGTGCAGTGCATTGCTTACGTGTTTGTGGTGATGTTGGTATAAACCTACGGAGCTGTCAATCATATAAAATTGTAGCACATACTATTATGTACAACACTTGGCAATGATAAGAAAAGACTCTTACTGGTTTATGTGTTTACAATACTATACACTTTATTGTTTTTTTTAAAGATTTTATTTATTTTTTAGAGAGGGGAAGGAGAAGGAGAGGGAGAGAAACATCAATGTGTGGTTACCTCTTGTGCACCCCTTACTGGGGCCTGGGCCTTAAACCCAGGCATATGGAAACTGAACCGGTGACCCTTTGGTTCGCAGGCTGGCACTCAATCCACTGAGCCACACCAGCCAGGGCAATGTACTTTGTAATTCTTATTTTAAAGTGTACTCTTTCTGCTTAAAAAGTTTGCTATAAAATAGTATGCCATGTTACGCCAGCTGCAACGTCATACATCTTGTACTGTATCAATTGATTGCCTCATTTTCTCTTGTGCATGATTTAACCATGTGTTGTTTTATTCATCATGGTCCCTAAGCATAGAAGATCCACATTAGTGCTGCCATTAAGGGGCCCTGTCAAGTGACTGAATTGGAAATGAAATTAAAAGTGATTACAGACTACAAATGTGGAAAATCAGTGTATGTGCCGGTCAGGCACATACTATTGTACTATAGCTATGGTCTTTAAGAGCAAGAACAAATGATGGAAATTTTTTAAGAATCTGCCTTACTGAAGTCAATGAAACTAACAAAAATTTGAGAAGGGCCTGTATCAGGCATGGAGCAATTTCTAATGACATAGATTGAAGTCTGGACAACAGGAGCTTATCCTTCTCAGTACCATGACAGTCATGGCCAAAGGAAAAAGTTGTGATGTTCAAAGAAAAGGCTAGACCTGACTATGATACTGAATTTACTGCCATGTGGGTCGTTTAAATGATTAAAGGATTGTTATTCATTTTAGAATGTTTAAGTAGTAGGCTATACAGTCTAGGTTTGTGTAAGTGCATTCTGTGATGTTCCCATGACAAAATTGCCTAACAGTGCATGTCTCAGATCTCTAATGTTAAGGCACACATGACTATATTTTGAAAGAGATCACATTCACATAACTTTAATACAGTATATTGTTATAATTGCTCTATTATATTATTAGTTATTGGTGCTAATCTATTGCTGTGCCAGATTTATAAATTAAACTTCATAGGTATGTATGTATAGGAAAAAACATAGTTTAAGTAGGGTTTGGTACTATCCACAGTTTTAGTCACCTACTGTGGGTCTTGGAATATACCCCATGAGAATGAGCATTGGGAGGACTACCGTATTATTAACCAGAGAAATAGGGGAGGAATATGAAATAAGCAAAAAAAAATGTTACTAATACAGAGGAGGAGAGAAAATAAGGGAGCAGTAGACACAGGAAAAGAGAAATGCATATGTAAGAAAGAGAAGTGGCTAAAAGGAAGGGAACCCAGTATCGGTTCAGAATTTACTATGTGGTAAACCATGTGTTAAACACTTTGGATTTTATCTCCACAGCTCAGTGGAGCCAGCTGTATCATCTCCTGATGAAATCATTTTTAGAACTAGTAATTTTAAAATACTCTTTCTTTTATTCTTTTTTTTGTTTAGCATATTTTCTTTATTTTTAAGTGCATTAATTTAAAAAAATTAAATTTATGTAAAATTCACACTTTGTGATATACAATTCTATGAGTTTTGACAAATGCATAGGATGTGTATTACTCACCATTATTAAGACATAGATCTCCTGTTGCCCCTTTATATTAGCTTTTCCCATTACATCTAACCGCCTGGTAAACACTGATCTATTCTCTGTGGCTGTTTTGCTTTTTCCATTTATAAGTTAATGTCCTTATAAATGGAAAAATGTAGAACTATATAGACTTTTGGGTCAGTCTCTTTCACTTAGAAAATGCATTTGAGATTCACGTTGTTGACAATCACGTTTGGGTTGTTTCTTGTTGCCTCTCTGCAAGGCTGCCATGCTGCCATGGATGTCAGGGATATCCCTGCTTTCACTGACAAATTGGGAGGCAGATGAATTCCTGAGTTCATAATATGGAATTTAGAATATTAATACCATTACCCCTCCACAGACACACACGCGCACGCACACGTATTTCCCAATATTTATAAATGGTAGCTATATACAGTTGATGAATTACTATTTAAGTGTGGGTTGGCCTGGGAATAGAATTACTAATTTTTAGCATTGTTTTTATATAAAAGGAAAGTGCTTTCTGAATTCTGAATAGGTTTTGGAATAGCTTGTTCATTCATGGTGGCCTGCCTATTTTTGTATATGTGGTCCTCATTGCTTGCCAGATGACAAGCATTTACTAGCTCGTAACCATCAGGGATTACAAGTATCTCTGATTTTCAGGTTAAACCATGTACTACAGATAATTTACATTTTGGTGTAGTTGAGGCTGAGTGATAACATTACTGATATTTTATTAATAAATGATTGAAAACCAACTTTTAATTTAGATAATAACTTGGTAGAATGAAAAAAACTATGGTTTTGGAGTCAGATCTGAGTTCAAATTTTAACCCCACCATTTATTAACTGAATTTGTTAACTGTAAAATGGAGATGATAATTACAGGGCGATTATGAGATTTTAAATGATTTAACAGTAGCCCATGTACAGTGCTTAGTCAATGCATTTGGTATGCATTAAGGGCTCAGTAGCTTATCATTAGACCATTAATTCCTTGCAGTTGGTTCTTTAGCAACTTGACATGTACAAAAGTGATCATTTTACTGAATTACAGCATAGAATTATGTTTTAAAAGGCTAATAATAAATAGGTATGATAATATATTTTTATATCTCTTTGGCTGTGTTAATTAAGGATAGCCTATTTTAATTTTCCCATTTTTATAATACCCATAAAAACATTTATTAAGTTATATATTAATGAAAGCTCAAGTAGGAAGAAAGCAATGAATAAAATACTGTGCTGCTTATTTTTCAAATTATTTTATATAGCAGTGTTTGCTTTGGCAGGAAGTCTTACTTTATGGGGTTATTGGTTAACTTTTTATTCCCTGTTATAAAATAGTAAACTTTTAAAATACATATATACTTTTGAAATTCAAATATATTTTTATCAATGACCAATACTGAGCTACAAAGCTATTTCAATGAAAGTGAAGTAGAAACCTTATAATGTAAATGAATTTGATAATTATTCTTTTATGAACTTGATGATATAACTATAAAAGCTTAACTAGTATAATATGTTTACCGTCCATTTTCAGCTTAATAAGCTAAGCACTAATAAACCAAAAGAATAAAAGAATAAATCATTGAAAATTATTTATGAGAAGTTTGTCTTTGTTACAAGTGCTTCACTTTAATAATATTTGGCTGGGCCATGGTGAATATGAGATGCTTAGAGGACATTTGTTGTTGGTTATTATTTACTTAAAATGTCTAGCCAGCTTTGTAGAATGTCAAGTTAGGAAGTTAAGACCAGTTCACTTGTCAGTCAATCATAATGAATACTTCTATGTGTCAAACATGGTCCTCGATGATGGAGAGGCAGCAAGAAAAATAGGAGATAGGGTCTCTAATCAGGAGACAGAAACAAGATAGCAGTTATATAAGGCAGCAAACTATTCTAACAAGGACTAATGGAGTACAGGATGACTATATCAGCTCTTAAGGAGGAAGAGAGGAGCTGGATTGTGAGAAAGTTGACTGATGTGCCTTGGTAGACAAAGAGGATAAAGGAGAAAAAGTTCCTGTTCTAAAGAGAAGGAATGGTGTGTTGCAGGGTGACAGCTGAGAATACTGCAGTTGTTCTGTGGAAAGCAAGCAAATTAAATTGACCTGAGTGGAAGTTTGTGTAGAAGATAGTCACAAAATAGGTTGCACAGCTAATTGGAGTGTGGGGATATAGAAGATTTTAAGCATTAATGTGAAAAGAGAGACATTTTGATTGCCCTATATTTTAAAAAGTAGACAAAATTAAAGAATTTCATGTTCACAGAGGAAGTTTTATAGGTGTTAACTTATTTTAAGATGAACTATGAAACAGATTAAAGCACTGAATGTTACTGCATTTGAGTGTAATTTGCAAAATGAAAACCCATTCCTTATTGGGATTTGAAAAGCACTGCTTGCAGAATAAATGAATATACAAACATTTTACATATCACCACTGGCTACATAAGGAAAGAAAAAAGGAATTAAAAAGAAACTATAATAAGACTAACTGAACTTTGAGTAGGGCTGGATTTCATATACTTTTCTTTTATTCTAGGTTGCTGCTTTTGCTCAGAGGACATCCATGACCCTGACGGTGTTTTCATTCACAATAAAGTGCTTTCTTGCCCTTACTGATTAACTGAACAAATTCAGGTTAGTACATTTTTTGCATAGCACTTACCTGTTCCAATTATATGTTAATATTTTGAGAAGTGAATATTTAAAAAAAGATTTATGTATTTATTTTTAGAGAGAGGGGAAGGGCGGGAGAAAAAGAGAGAAACATCAGTTGGTTGTCTCTTGTATGCACCCAACCAGCGATTGAACTGGCAACTGAGGATGTTCCTGGATCAGGATTGGAACTGGCAACCTTTCACTTCGCAGGATGATGCCAAACCAACTGAGCCATACCAGTCAGGGAGAAAAGGAATGATTTTGTGTTCGAAGCTACATATGTATATATCAGTGAAGCAGAAAGGCCAATCTAAACCCCACTGAATTTTGTATTAACAAATGTTTTCAGATTACCTACTATATATAATATGAAATGCCTAAAGTGAAAAATGTTTTATTTCCTGTGTAATAGTTTTATACTTTAAAGTAAGGGGCTGGATAAAGCAAGCTGTGACTGGCCCTGGTTGGTGTGGCTCAGTTGGTTGGAGCATTGTCAAGTAACCAAAAGGTTGTGGATTCAATTCCTGTTCAGGGCACATACCTAGGTTGTGGGTCCCCTTTCCGGTCCAGGTGTGAACAATACCTGGACCAGGCACATGCAGAAGGCAACAAATTGATGCTTCTCTCTCACATTGATATTTTTCTCTCTTGTTTCCTCTTCTCTCTCAAAAGCAATGAAAACATGTCCTCGGATGAGGATTAACAAAACAAAACAAAACAAAACAAAAACAAGTTGTGGCTGAATATTGTACATTGTATTTCTTGCATTGTTGCATTTGGTGCTGGAAATAACTCATCTTAAAATTTTTGATTTTAAGTAGCTGAGTTTTAAAAGTTTCATACTTGTCTAGATTTCAGTCATACTTTAGACTTTTATTTATTTGTATTTAGGATTTGGTCTGAATTTTGATAAATGTATATTTATCACTATAATCTTCTAAATTCACTCACGTCTTCTTAAATCTTGAGCAACCACTAATATGTTTTTTGTACTTATAGCTTACCTTTTCCAATATGTCATTTAAATGGAATCATTTAGTATTCCATTTAATAGGTAGTATGTACCTTTGTTAAAACTTGTATTTTATTAATTATGCTATTACAGTTGTCCCAATTTTCCCCCTTTGCACACCTCCATTCAGCACCCCCCACTCCTTCAGGGAATACCACACCACTGTTCAAGTCCATGGGTCATGTGTATAAGTTCTTTGGCTACTCCATTTCCTATACTATACTTTACATCCTCATGGCTACTCTGTAACTACCTGTTTGTACTTCTTAATCCCCTCATCTTTTCACGCATTCCCCCACCCCCTCATATGGCAACCATCACAACCCTCTTAAGTATCCATGATTCTGTCTCTATTCTTGTTTGCTTAGTTTGTTCTTTAGAGTCAATTGTTGATAGATATGTTTTTATTGCCATTTTATTGTTCATAGTTTTGATCTTTTTTTTCCTTAAGTTCTTTTAACATTTCATGTAATAATGGTTTGGCGATGATGAACTCCATTAGTTTTTTCTTGTCTGGGAGACTCTTTATCTGCCTTCTGAAACTAAATGCTAGCTTTCTTGCATAAGAGAGCATTGTTGGCTGTAGGTCCGTGGTTTTCATGACTTTGAATATTTCTTGCCAGTCCCTCTAGCCTGCAGTTTCTTTTGAGAAATCAGCTGACAGTCTTACGGGAACTCCCCTGTAGGTAACTTAACTTCTTTTCTCCTATTGCTTTTAAGATTCTCTCTTTATCTTTAACCTTTGGCATTTTAATGATGATGAGTCTTGGAATGGGCTTGTTTGCATCCATCTTGTTTGGGACTCTCTGTGCTTTCTGAACTTGGGTATCTATTTCCTTCACCAAATTAGGGAATTTTTCTTTCAGTATTTTGTCTAATAGATTTCCAATTTCTTGATTTTTCTTCCCCTTCTGGTACCCCTATGATGCGAATATTGGAACACTCAAAGTTGTCCCAGAGGCTCCTGACACTATCCTTGTTTTTTTTTGGATTTTTTTTTCTTGTTGTTCTGATTGGTTGTTTTCTGCTTCCTTATGTACCAATTAATTGATTTGATTCTCAGCTTCATGCACTCTACAGTTGTTTCCCTGTAAATTGTTCTTTATTTCAATTCATGTCCCCTTCGTATCTGACTAGATCTATTTTATGCTGTTGAGGTCCTCACTAATTTCCGTGAGCATCCTTAAAACCAGTGTTTTGAAATCTGCATCTCATAGATTGCTTATATTCCTTTTGTTTAGTTCTTTTTCTGGAGTTTTGATCTGTTCTTTCATCTGGGCCATGTTTCCTTGTCTCCTCATTTTGGACGCCTCCCTGTGTTCGTTTCTCTGTGTTAGGGAGAGCTGCTATGACTCCCTGTCTTGGTAATGTAGCCTAATGTAGTAGGTGTTCCATAGAGCCCATTGGCACAGCCTCCCCATGACCCAACCTGGGTACTTGTGGTGCGCCCTTTGTGTGGGCTGAGTATGCCTTCCTCTTGTAGCTGAGCCTTGATTGCTGTTGGCAGGTTAATGTCTGGGGGAGCGGCGGGATTTAGCCAGGCCAGTCAGGTGCAAGGACTGGCTGTGCCCACTGAACACCAGCCTCCACCCTATGTGGAGGATCAGCAATGCAGGGGCAGGGTGATGATGCTCTGATGTGGTCTGTAGCTGTCTACTGGGTGCACAAGCCCTGGGGTTTCTTGGGTGGTACAGGCCGAGGTCAGCCCTCACCTGTGTTTTACCCATGGCCACTGTGCCTGAGCTATGAAGCAATCTGAGATGACTGCTATCTCAGTCATCTGGGCTTGTGCTGGGCTTGGAGATTCCCAGGTGAAGCCAAGTTGTGAATCCAGGCTGGCTGCTGCTGGTGCTGGGCCTAGGGCCCCTTAGCAAGCGTACAGGGGCTAAGGGCTTACTGAGGCCGGCTGTTGCTTGTTTGATAGGACTTAGGAAGTTGTGACATGAGCCGAGACCACCCATTTATATCTTGGGTGGGCCTGTGCTGGCTCTGTGGCTCTGTGGCTCTGTGTGGGAAGGGTTCAGAAAAGGGACATTGATCTCTGCCTTCCTTTCTGTCAGAGAGAAGCTGTGCTCTTGCCTTGATGTCAGACACTTCGGTTCCTCTCTATTTGCCACTGGTGCCTTTCAAGTTGCTACCCAGTTGCTGGAGCTTAGAGGGAGTAAGTCTGAGTAAGTTCATGTGTGAATTCTTAAAGGGGAACTGCTTGGGACTCCAGAAGTTTCTCCCATTGACTCAATTCCCACTGTTTTTTGCAGCCAAATATTATGGGGAGTTATTTTCCTGGCACTAGAACCCTGGACTGGTGGACTGGTGTGGGGCTGGGACTCCTGCCCCCAAGATATCCCTTTTGAATTTTTATCCGGCACACGTGGATGTGGAACCAGCTTGTTCTGCGTCTGTGCCCCTCCTACAAGTCTGAATGGATGTGGCTTTTTTAATTCTGTAGTTGTCAGACTTCTATTCAACTTGATTGCTGACAGTTTTGAGTGATGGCTGTTCTGTATTTTAGTTGTAATTTTGATGTGGTTGTGCAAGGAGACGAGCCGTGCTTACCCATGCTGCCATCTTGACCAGAAGCAGTATGTACCTTTTAAAATCTGGCTTCTTTCACTTAGCATAATGGATTTGGATTCATCCCTGTTGTGCATACCAGTAGGTGTTTGTTTGTTTTTTTCTTTTTAATATACTACAGTGAGATTATCCACTCACCAGCTGATGCACATTTGGGGGGTTTTTAGTTTTTGGTGATTATTGCAGTCATATTTTTTGGTGTGTGATAAAACGCTTATAAAACTTACCATCTAAGATTCTGATATCTCATCTGTAGAATGAACATAGAATATTTACCCTAAGGGTTGTAATGAGTATTAAATAGAATAAATTACAGAAAAGTACATAACAGTGTCTACTGTTATGTGCTTTTAATAAATGTTTGCCTTTATTATTTTTTAATAAAAATAAAGTGGAAACATTGCTTTTCATTTGTCTTTTTCTAGTGAGTCTATATGGACACAGAAATAGTGCCTACTATTACCTTGGATCCCAGTAAGAAAATAAAAATGAAGCAAATTCCTGCTGTGTTGACCTCCTGGAACTTTTCACAGTTTGAGAAAAAATTAACCAGGCCACTGTCAGCATAAGTTAATGCTGGGTGTGAAAAGGCTCTGGAGGAGAGTTGTAACTTGAGGAAGGATGGTAGGATTTTTCATAGGGATTTAGCAGGAGGGGGTCAGGCATAGTTCAGGTAGTGGGGGAATAGATGGTCAATGATGACTGTCAAAGAATTGCTCTTGTTGATTATCAGCCATTGCACAATTTGGATTTTATCAAGAGGGCTGGGGAGAAGCAACTGTGAGGAGCAAGGAGAGAAGGCCAGTGTACACATTCTCAGGTTTTTAGTATTTTCACAGCAGATTTTTCTATCATTGGATCTTGTAGTCTTTTCCCAACTACCTCACCAATCTTCCCCCTTACCCTGATTATGATTTTAGATTGTTTCTAGCTCTTGATCTCAGAAGGCAATATCTTTATGAAACTTCAAAGGATGTGGGATTAAGTATTTTGTAGCCCTGGAAGTTCTCTCCTGTTTTACTCCCTGCCTTCTTTGTACTGTGTTTTGGATCCTGTTATGTAGGTACTCTGCAGTAGAGGAAATAGTAATAATGTATGATGATGAAAAGCTTCAAAGTGGACATACGGCTGGAAGGGAGATTTGAATAGGATTTTGCAGCAGCTTTTTTAGTTGATGATACATCTTCAACTTAAATTGTAATTGACTTCTAAGCTCTGCCTTCTGTGATGATTCTAGTAGAAGTCAAATGAGATAATTTTTGATAGATGGTTTGCAAGCTTTGGTATGTGCAGCCAGCCTTCCAAAGCCTACCTTGTGCTTTTCAGGGAGCTAAGCTTGTGACTGGATGGATCAGCTACTCTCTTGTATCTCTTAAATGTATTAATGGTTTTA